CCATCACGTATAATACTACAATATTTCCGGAAAATAATAATAATTTCGGCCTTTTTGCTATTTCAACGCACTAACCAATCCTTTCCTAATATTGTATTAAAAAAAAAAATATCAACCCAAATTATAAGTATTTCTACCTCTACTAAGTGAATTTTTATTCCTTCCAAAGAAATATAGGCCATGGCTTTCTTGGCCTAGTTTTACTCGATTATGAATAAAAGTCTCTTTCTTTACCCCATTTGCCTTGTAATTGATTTAAGAAATTCATTAAAAAATTAGGAATGTGAATACATTTTATGTAATGTGATTTTTTCGAAGATGAATCCTACTAAATTATCATGTAGTAGAAAGAAAAGAAAGAAATTCATAAAAAAAATTAAGAATGTGAATAAATTCTTTACCATTACATCTTAAACTCCCAAACCCAACTCATTGATCTTGGTTGGTGAAAACATGACAAATAACAAAAATCTGTAACTCAACAGCCCTTGATTGGCCTTTTTTAAAAATTACATCATATTTTTTATATAAAAAAAAAAACTAAATGAGATATAACTAAAGAATTTTTTGGTGTTGTATCCCATGGATAGCTTATATATCATCATTATTAAGTAGGGCGCTTCTAATCTTCAACATTTCATCCTATGCCCGTTTCTTGCTGTGATCACCCGTTCTTTACAAACAATTCTCTCTCAGTGTGTGGATAAAGATTCAATCTTAAATTCAATCAGTTCCTCAAATCCCTGCAGAAAAGCAGCTCAGCAATGGCCCTCCACAGTCCACTTTTTTTATGTTTCTTCGAGCCACTTGTTCAGTTTATTATGATGACAGCTTGTTGACATTGTCTCACTTATTCATGCAATAAGTCATTTCTCTTTCATGGAATGGACCAATCTCTCTCTACCATGCAGCACTTCAGTTTTGGAAAGTTTTTACCTTAAGACTCTATAGGATATAAAACTAAATTCATGAAAAGATCAGTTGCAATTTCAATACTTTTACTTCAGGAGACATGACATGAGTGATAATGTGAAAAAAACTTGCCCCACATTAGCACACAAGTAGGACTTTTCTTTTTAATCTTTCCACCATAACAAAGAACACCTTTAACCTTTACCTCTCACTGCAGAAAAATGTTCATTGCTTTCTATCAATTTGCAAGCATGATCTGGAAGAGTCTTCTCCTATTACTCCGGTGAAGCTATTCATATCTTTTGTCCGAAACTTTCTTCACAGGGCTTTCCAATCTGATCGTCTAATATTTCCTTTTCCATTCTAACTCTGCTTCCTATGTTCACTCTGTTTTCTTCAAGAGCTAGTGAATTACCATCAGATATCAAATAGCTTTTATCCCAAGGATTAGATTTAGACTCGTAAAAAAATTTCGTCGTATTTAAAAAAAAAAAAGAAGCTAAATGAGATATACATACTAGGAGCTTCAAATCTTCAACTTTTCCCTCATATCTATTTTTGCTTCAAATCTTCAATTTTTATAATAATTTTCAATTCAGCACAGGTGGAGTAGTTGAGAATGAAGAGCTTTTCTGGTGGTTATCAATATCCCAATTAACATTTTGGACAAACTACTCTACCAACAAACTTTCTCTTTCTGAGAGAGATTGCAATAATTACTCCGCCACTCTTGTAAAGTATGGTCTACATTTAAAATATTTATTTAATTTTATTTATAAATATAATGTGATTATTTTAAATAATATCTAAAAGATATGTTTAAATTACCATTCATAAAAAAAATAATATGAAATTACTTTTTAAATTATTATAAAAAATATATTTAAAAATTTTATACACTTTTATTATTTTTACTTTTTTTTACATTGATATTAATAGGGGGTGTTTAATTTGTACTCATTTAGATTGGTTCAATTTCATCCTGATCATATTAAAATGGGTCTTATTGATCTGAAAATAATTTTGACAAGACTTTCCAAAACAAGATAAGAAAGAGGTTTGGAACATGACTCCTCCCAAATATTATATAGATATATATTAGTTTTTATTTTAAAAAATACATTAAATATATTAATTATATTAATATAATTTGTAATTATATTAATTATAATTAATACTTGTTATTCTTATTTAAAACTAAAAGTTTTTTATATTAATAATTTTAATGATATAGAGTAAACAGTATGTGTAGTATTTTTCTTTACAATATTAATTATATTAATATAATTTATTATTATGTTTACCATTTAATAAATTTTATTTATATTATGTCTCTTGCTTTATTTTAGAAAGAGTCACTAGCTTAACATGTTTCAATTAAAGAAAAAGAACAATAATTTAATATTATGTTAGATTTGTTTATTGTTGTTGTTCTTATAGCCTATAGATCATAACTTATGTCTTATGTATACCTGACTCTAAGTTGTATGTTTATAATTGTGATTGATGTAATTTAATAATTATTGTATTTATATATTGTGTTGTTTTGGTTTTAAATTAATAAGTTATGTGATTTAAAATTTTAATTAATGAATGTTATTATCTAAATTTTTTTCAATACCTATATTATCCCATTTATTGAGGTAGTGAGACTTTTTGATTTCATCTCAATCTTATTTAATTTTTAATGAGACGGGATAACTTTTAAAATTGGATAGAAAATGAGACAAAAAATTTAATCTCGATAATATTTTGGGACAAAACATTGGATAGAAATGCCTTGATTTTGTCCCGTTTGTGAGCATTTTAAAATATTAATGAGATTGGTAAAAAAAAAAATTTAAATAAATGCATGTAAACATTTAACCACTAGTTGGTCATATTCAGTAACTAGATTTAATGATACATCAGCTAATTAGTTTTCAGATCGAATCAATCACTCCCAAATTCACACAGAGAAGCAGCTCAAGCATGGCCCTGGACAGTCGACCTTTTTTTCCCCTGCTCTAGCCAATGTCAATTGGTCAATGATGACAGCTTATAGACTGTGTCCCACTTATTCATGAAATGATCTCTTTCATGGAATCGCGCAAGAACCAAACAGCACAAGGACAAATCTCTCCCTGCCATTCGGCATTATGGTTTTGAAAATTTTTTACTTGAACCTTATAAGATAATACACTAAATAAAAAATATAAATTAAAATTCATCAAAACGATCAAAGTTACAAAGTTGTTAAGGTTATGATTTTGATTACAATACGGTTACTACATTATGTTAATATTATTACTTTTCGTGACATGAGTGATGATAATGTGAAAAACCTAATGACTTTTTTTTAATTGTTAGTAAATTTTATAATAATTAATTTTTTTATATAAAACTTTAATATAATTTTTTAAAAAACTTAAGCCTCACAGTGGCACATTGGTAGATTTTTTTCCCCCTTTTCACTAGTTCAGAAAATAAGTTCAGTGCTTTCTGTCCTAGTGTCCTATGACGGGGTAGGCACTGTAGTGCTCAGCGACAAAACACTGGTGTTTGGCAGTGTTTTTTTTTATTTTTTTAAATTATAAACTCATTATAATAATAATAAATAAATAATATGAAATTATTATTTTAATATTTAATAAATAAATAAATTTTAAGATGTTAAAATTGAACCTATGTACTGTGACTTATTAAAATTTGACTTAAACAATTTATATATAAATTTTAATTTAAACGATTGAGGATTGTATTAAAAAAATTAAAAATAAAATAAAAAATATTTTATTTTTTATTTTATTAATTTTATACAGTTGTTTATCTATGAAAAATTATATTATTCAAAGTATGATTGAGTATTAAATATAAATATTTTTTTTTATAATAATTTAAATATTGATTTGTTACAATACAAGAAACTAACTCATTTTGCTAAATTTAACCTCAATTTTAAACTCTTTAAATTATGTTCTTTATTTTTTTAATATAATTCTAAATTGTTTAAATTAAAATTTTATTTGAACTACTCTGATTTAATTTTAATATTTTAATATTTATTTGTTTGTTAAATATTTAAATAATATTTTTATAATATTCATTCATTTATTATTATAATGAGTTTGTGATTTAAAAAAAAAAAACAAACACTGCCAAACGGCAGTGCAATTCCCTCCTATATAGCTCAGAAAATATCCGAACTACCGATTAGCAGACATTATAAGAAGAATCTCCTCCTATTACTCCGGTGAAGCTATTTGTATAAGAAATCTTCATTTCAGAAACTTTCTTGACAGGGCTTTCCAGTGTGATCATCCAATACTTACTTTTCCATTCTAACTCTAATTACTGTGCTCTCTCTGTTTTTCTGCAAGTTCCAGTGAATTATTATCAGATATCAAATAGCTTGAGTTGCTTAGAAAGGCCAAAAATGAAGTTTGGGAAAGAATTTGAAGCACAAATGGTGCCAGAATGGAAGGAAGCATACATGGATTACACTTACCTGAAGACCCTTTTGAAAGATGTCCAGCTCTACAAGCAGAGAAGCCAGCCACCTGCAACTCCAGGAGGCCTAAAGAGAAATCTTACACTCTACAGGGCTTTCAGTGGTCTCATTCAGAGACAAACCCACCATTCCATTGATCCCCATGTACAAGATATTGAGAGCCAACCCATAATGGTGAGCTCCGTGCAACAAGATGGATCGGTGAGCTATCAAACTACTTTTTTGCTGTCTGCGGAAGAAGGTGGAGAATTTGAGATGATATACTTTAAGAGGCTGGATGATGAGTTTAACAAAGTGGACAAGTTTTATAGGTCTAAAGTGGAGGAAGTGATGAAGGAAGCTGCTATGCTGAATAAGCAAATGGAAGCTTTGATTGCTTTCCGGATAAAGGTTGAGAAACCCTCTCCATGGTTCAATAGCTCTGTGGAGATGACACGTCTTGCTTCAGATGTTGCAACTTCAGCAGCTACATTATCACCTTCTACACCCAGAGGGGCCAAATTGCACGGTAAGCTTTTTCACGTCTTGGTATCACCGTAACTTGCTGTCAATCCTTCTATGTTGTCAAGTATTTTATAGCCTGCAGATGCATTGAATTCATAAAAATCAGCAACATGCTAGCTAAAAATGTTTCAATATTGGATTAGTAGATACTAGCTCAAAGTTTATTGGTCTGATTATAGTAAATCCACTATAATTAAATTAATATAAGATTAGATTTATACAAGAAAATAGGGAAAACATAACTTAGTGGTCTCTGTTTTTTTTTTTGGGTGTTTTTGGTTTCTCTACTTTTATTTTTCATTGTTGTAAGTTCCTCCATGAAAGTTTATTTAACCGATTTTATCCTTTTCAACTTCCTAAACAGGAAGAGTTTCCATGGCCATGGAGACGATCAGTGAGGACAGCATCCGTAATGGTCAATCAGATGGCTCCAGTGAGAACAAAGAGAATGAAATTCAATTTAATGGCCAAAAGTCTCAAACGGATAAGGAAAAAGATAACAGTAATACCAAACCAGCTTCTTTGGAAGTCCTCGATCGTGTACGACTGAACAACACCCCTGAGACTCCTTGCTCAACCATAAAAAGCTTCCTCAATTACTCTACACAAACAGAACTACAATTTAACAGAAAGAATTTGAAGAAAGTTGAGGAACAACTCAAACAAGCTTTCATTGAATTCTACCAAAAGCTTCGACTTCTAAAGAACTACAGGTTATACACATGCATTTTGTTTTAACTTCATCATCTAGTTTCCTTCATATTTCTTCTTAACTTGTGTGCTTGTTATTAAAGCAGCTTTCTAAACGCGTTGGCATTTTCAAAGATAATGAAGAAATACGATAGGGTAATCCACACCTTTCTAAAACTACAAGCAGAAGACAACCTAGGAAATTTAATTAGCCCCTCAAGTTCTTTCACTATACACTGCAGATTACATCAAGAAGCGCAGCAAAAACATACCTGAAAATGGTTGACAATTCCTACCTTGGCAGCTCTGACGAGGTTGGGCTTTTATAAGGAAAGAAAATCATAAAACTCAGCACCATCATATTTCCCTGCATGTCAACATCAATTAGTAAACACCTAACATCCTTATGAGTTATGATAGCTCAGCTTTCCTAAACAGGTCACAAGGCTTATAGAGAGGGTGGAAAACACATTCACTAAGCACTTCTCTAACTCCAATCGTAATAATGGATTGAATCTCCTTAGACCAAAACCAACTAGAGCAAGACACAGAATAACATTTTCCACAGGTAAGAACCAAGATTCCCTATGGTTCAAAAATTTACAGCACAAGTACGTAGTCTTTGATTTCTTTCCCCAAACATTTTCTTCTGTTCAAAATTGCAGGTTTTTTGGCTGGCTGCACAGCAGCACTAGTTTTAGCACTTACTCTGATCATCCGTGCCCGCAAGATTATGAATCACCCAGGGAGTACTCAGTACATGCAAACCATGTTTCCTCTTTATAGGTAGCCTTAGTTCTCAAAATATAATTTGTAGATTTTTTATTTCAAAAGCTTATAACTTAATCCAATGAACAAAAGCTTACACGTATGCTTTACCATGTAAAAAAATTTCCTGCAGTTTGTTTGGGTTCATAGTTCTACACATGTTTATGTATGCTGCCAATGTATACTTCTGGAGGCGATATAGAGTGAATCAGTCCTTTATTTTTGGTTTCAAGCAAGGATCTGAGTTAAGCTACCTTGATGTTCTCCTCCTAGCTTTTGTCCTTGCAGCATTGACACTAGCCAGTGTGCTTGCGAACCTCGACATGGAGATGGATCCAAGCACAAAAGATTACGAAGTCTTCACTGAACTTATTCCTCTGATCTTGGTTCTTGTAAGACAAGCATACTTTCACTGAATTCATTGGATCTTCATTTAGTTTATAAACTTACATTATGAGTTCATTTCTTCCTCTGCAGTTTGTGATTGTCATTTTATCATGCCCATTCAACATCATGTATCGTTCAAGCCGGCTTTTCTTTCTCACATGCCTGTTCCACTGCATCTGTGCTCCTCTCTACAAGGTAATATGGTGGAACACTAAATTACCAAATGCTCCTCCTAACTGAATTCTATTCTTCGCTGGAAATCCAATCTATGCCATTTCCAATATTCCTTAGGTCACGCTTCCAGATTTCTTTTTGGCGGATCAATTTACAAGCCAGGTTCGTTAGAAACAAAAATGATATCATAGTGCCCTAGCACTTCACATATCCCATCTCATTCATTTTTATGCACCCAGGTTCAAGCACTAAGAAGTTTAGAGTTCTACATTTGCTACTACGGTTGGGGAGATTTCAAGCACAGACAAAACACTTGCAACTCAAGTAGCATATTCAAAGCATTTTCCTTCATTGTTGCTGTGATTCCATACTGGTGTCGTTGTATTCAGGTACCGACTCTGTTGTCCGAAAGACACTTATAAGAAAAAAGCCTTGTACCTATACTGAACAGACAGAATGCAACACATCAAATCACAACCAAATTCCTTGAAGTTAGTTGTGTCGCAATGCCAATATTTTTGCTTACTAGCTCCCAAATGATCTTCCTACTTCTCCAATTAGTGCCTGAGGCGATTGTTTGAAGAGAAAGACGCCATGCAAGGATATAATGCTGGGAAATACTTCCTCACAATAGCAGCTGTTTGCCTCAGAACAGCATACAGCCTTGATAATGGGATGACTTGGAACGTGCTTGCTTGGGTGTTCTCAATATGTGCAGCAATCGTTTCTACATATTGGGACCTTGTCATAGATTGGGGCCTCCTTCAAAAGAATTCCAAGAATCGCTGGTTAAGAGACAAACTCATAATACCTCATAAAAGCATATATTTCACAGCCATGGTATAAAAATTAACTTGGAAATCTTCAAGCCGAATTTGAAATAATTTTTATCTTCTTTAGGCATTGTATATTTTAGGAATTGCTGACAAATTCTAGCATTGCAGGTGCTGAATATCTTGCTGAGATTTGCGTGGTTGCAGACAGTATTGGATTTCGAGGTTGACTTCCTGCATAAACAAGCAATGATTAGCATTATAGCGAGTCTAGAGATCATACGTCGGGGCGTATGGAACTTCTTCAGGTAAGAAAGAGAATAAAATTTTAGGTGAATCATCATTTTTTTTTGGGAAGTTAAAATGACCAAGCAGTGAGTGGCTGCAATTCAAAATTTCAGGGTGGAGAATGAGCATTTGAACAATGTGGGCAAGTTCAGAGCATTCAAGTCGGTGCCCCTACCTTTCAACTACGACGAAGCTGAAGACAAGGATGACTGATTATCAAACGCAGAAATCTATAGAAAATGATTAAAATGAATAAAACAAATTTGTACCGAAAGAAATGGCTATAAATACTGAGCAGGTTGAGCTCTTGCAAATTTCATATGAAATATTTTAAGATTTTCATTTGAAATAATTGCTTTGGTCAATAATAAATTGAATCAGATTTTGCACGTGTACGAAGTACGTGATGCTTCCTAATTGATAGAGTAGTTAAGTAATTTATTCTAACTAACCATAATTAGTTAAGTAATCATTCTTAGTTATGTAATCATTGAGCACGTGACTATTATATACTCTATACTCTTAACAATCAATGAGATATCAGAACATTCATCAAATCTCTCTCTCTCCTCTCTTTTCCTTTATGGTATCAGGGCATCTCTAATTCGTGACCATGACTTCCGCCTCTGTACGCTCCACACAAGGACATTGTAACGCTCTCTCATTTGGTCTCAATAAAACTTGATGAGACTAATTATCTCATCTGGAAGCATCAAGTCCTCTCCGCTATTCATGGTCATGATCTGCAATGCTTCATTGAGAGATCTGAGAAACCCCCTGCAAAATACATTGCAAGTTAGGACTCTAAAGATGGATTCAAACTGAATCTTGCCTATTTTGATTGGCAATGGCAAGATCAACTTCTTGCCTCCTAGATGTCTTGCTTGATGTTTGATGGACTACTTATGAGAGTTGTTGGTTGTGAGACTTCCCTCCAAATTTAGGAGAAGATCTTCACAAACCAAAGCAAAGGTTTGACAGCTGAAAACTCAACTGAAGAACACCAAAAAAGGCAATCTAACTGCCAATGAGTATTTGTTAAAGATTAAAGGAATTGTTGATTCCTTGGTTGCAATCGATAATCCAATCTCTGAAGCTGATCATCTAGAGTTTATTTTTGAAGGCCTTACTAAGGAGTATGATCTGTTTATTATGGCGGTTACAACTCTTCCTTATCCATCACCATTGATGAGATTGAATCACTTCTTCTGGCTCAAGAAGCACGAATTGACAAACATCTGAAAGTTGCTGTTGCCACTGCAAACCTTGTTCAGACTAAGTTTTTCTAATTGAGGTAGTGGTCGATCTCATAGTGGTCATGATAATTGTGGTTATGGTAGTCGTTTGACTTTTGGTCAATCAAGCTTTAGAACTGATAATAATCAATCTCGTTTCTTTTAACCTTGTCAAATTTGTGAGAAGAAAGGCCATCTTGCTTGTGATTGTTGGTACTGTTTTGATGAGGCTTTTCGAGGCCTCTCTCTCAGTGATAAGAACTCCAAGGAGAAACATAATGTGTTGGTTGCAACTGCTGAGTATGTTACTAATCCTGACTGGTACCTTGACTCAGGTGCTACCAGCCATGTTACCAACAATGATCTGAATATTATTGCGAAGACAGGTGATCATTTTGTTGATTAAATATTTGTTAGTGATGGTAAAGGTTTGAAAGTACATTGCACTGGCAATTCTAATTCTATTTTACCTTCCTGTCAATATACTCTTAAACTCAAGGATATCCTTCATGTCCCTGATATAACCAGAAATCTTCTTAGCATTCCTTAACTTTATCTTGACAATGATATTCTAATTGCCTTCTTTTCTAATGTTTATGTGATCAAGGATTTACAAACTAACTAGACCATCTATAAAGGTTGTTTCAAGAAGCATTGTCCTAATTTGTATGGTGTTCCTTTATGCATTCCAAGTTCTTTGTCTTAGTTTTAGCGTCAATAGTCTCAGTCTACACACAAATTTGCTTATGTTACTACTAGTTCTAACTCTCATTCTGTTCCCAATACTGATACTCATTTCACTAGTTTTCATCTTTGGTATAATAAGTTAGGTCATCCAGCGTCACTATTGTTACTCAAGTTCTCAAAACATGTAATCTTTCCTACAATAATAAAACCTCTGTTTCAGATTTTTGTAATTCTTGTTGTTTGGCTAAAGCTCATAAACTTTCCTTTTCTGTGTCTACTTATACTTACACTAAACCTTTGGAACTTATTCATACTGATATCTGGGGGCTTACTCCTTCCACATCTCTCGATGGCTATGTGTACTACATTCATTTCACTGATGCTCATATATGGTATACCTAGTTCTATCCAATGTGTGTGAAGTTTGAGGCTTATTGCATTTTTCTAGAATTTAAAACTATGGTTGAACTACAACTTAGTTCTAAAATTCTTGTTGTTCAATCTGATGTTGGCGCTGAATATATGAAAATTGGCAAATTTCTCAAAGAGCATGGCCTTCATCATTGCATCAGTTGTCCTCATACCCATGAGCAAAATGGTTTGGCAAAAAGGAAACATCGCATTATCACTGAAATTGGTCTTACCTTATTGGCCACTACCTCTCTTCCTTTGACTATTTGGGTTGAAGCATTTAGTATAGCTGTTTACCTTTCAAATCGCCTTCCTACCAAATTACATAATGGAGTCTCTCCCTACCAAATGCTATATAATAAGCCACCCAGCTATTTGCATCTCAAGACCTTTGATTACTTTTGTTTTCCTTTACTCGTCCTTACAATAGGTTTAAAATGGAGTACAAGTCTAAACCTTATATCTTTCTTGGATACAGCTTTTCTCATAAAGGTTATAAATGTTAGGATCCCCATGATCGGGTTTACATTTCAAGAGATGTGCTCTTTAATGAACATGAGTTTCCATATCATGCCCTCACTTCCACTCCTCCAACTTCTTCTTCTTCTTTGAGTCTGTCCTCTTCTTTGTCTATCTTTGTTTCCCCTTCTACCCAGTGCAATGCTACTCCCATTCCTTTAACTACTTCTCTTGAGTTATGCAAATTGTCTTGATATGTCTTTGTCTTCTCCTACTTCTGGTGGATCTTCCTTTTTGGCAATAGCCATGACTTCTTCTGTTGATGCTTCTTCTTTCCCTTTTTCTGGTGTGAATGGGAATGTACCTAAGTCTACTACTGTACCTATTGATCATTCTACTCGCATGGTCACTATATCTATGAATGGCATTTTCAAGCCTAAAGTCTATTCTATTGATGTTGAACCCACAACAATCTCTGTAGCTCTAGCATCATATGTCTGGAAGAAGGCCATGGATGAAGAGTACGAGGCCCTTATAAGAAATAAGACTTGGTACCTTGTCTCCCTTCTATCTAATCGACGTGCTATAAGGTGCAAGTAGATTTGGAAGAGGACAATTAATCCAGATGGTAGCACAACAAAGTATAAAGCAAGGTTAGTGGCAAAGTGATTTCATCATAAAGAAGGATTTGATTTTAATGAGACCTTTAGCCCTATGGTCAAGCCTATTACTATTAAAGCTGTTTTATCTATTGCTATTTCTCAAAGGTAGTTCCTACGACAAATTGATGTCAATAATGCATTCTTAAATGGTGCATTACATGAAGAAGTTTATATGATGTAGCCTCCAGGTTATGAATACAGTGATAAAGGTCTGGTGTGTAAACTTGATAAAGCATTATATGGTCCGAAACAGGCACTATGTGCATGGTTTGAGAGATTGGCTAGTACACTCTCTAAATTTGGTTTTTCTAGTAACAAGTATGATTAGCCTCTCTTTATTTGAGTTGATGGTTCTCATGTTTTGTATGTTTTAGCATATGTTGATGATATTATCATCATAAGCAGCTCCTCTACTCAAATTTTTACATTAGTCTCTACACTTAATCATGAGTTTTTACTCAAAGATCTTGGTGAATTTAATTACCTTTTGGGATTGAAGTTACTTGGTTAAAAACTAGTTCTGTTGTTTTGTCATAGGCCAAGTATATTAAAGATATTCTCAATCGTGCAGGGATGTCTAATGCCAAATCTGTGCCTACACCCATGATATCTGGTGTAAAGTTATTTAAAGAAGGATCTGCTATTTTTGGTAATCCGGCTTTATATAGATTTGTTGTGGGTGTACTTCAGTATGCTACCATTAGTTGCCCATAAATTAGTTTTTCTATTAATAAGGTGTGTCAATTTATGGCCGCTCCTTTTCAAGTGCACTAGAAGGCAGTCAAGCATATACTACGGTATCTTGTTGGAACAGTATCTCATAGTTTATATTTTCAACCATCCATACATGGTTTAGTCGTTGCTTATTGTGATGCTGATTGGGCGGCTGACTGTAATGATAGAAAAAGCACTATGGGTTATTGCATTTATTTTGCTACGAATCTAGTTTCTTGGTCTTCCAAGAAATAGGCCACAATGGCTCTATCAAGCACTGAAGTCGAGTATAAGAGCATGGCATCTTCTGTTGTAGAAGTTATTTGGCTTAAATCACTGTTGAATGAAGTTCAGGTACATCTTGTACGTGCTCCTCAGATATTGTGTGACAATCAAGGTGCAATGTTGTTGATTGCCAATCCCATTCTTCATGCTAGAACCAAACATTTGGAGATTAACTTGTACTTTGTTCGAGAATGAGCAATACATAAGGAGATTCAAGTTCATCATATTCCAGCATCTAGTCAAATTGTTGATGGATTAACTAAACTAGTTTCTAGTGCAATGTTCTCAGATTTCAAGACAAACTTAAGAGTGAAAAAGTACCTTCAATTGAGGGGGCATGATAGAGTAGTTAAGTAATCTGTTGTAACTAACCATAGTTAGTTAAGTTAAGTAATTATTCTAAGTTGTATAATCACTGAGCACGTGACTCTATTATATACTCTGTACTCTTAATAATCAATAAGATATCAAAACATTCATCAAATCAATCTCTCTCCTCTCTTTTCCTTTAGTAATCATTAAAAATTAAAATAAGTAAATGTTAATATATATTGTGCAATGTACAAATGAGATTAATTTGATAACATGGATATATGAATTTGCATATTTGGTATATAATATATTGTGTCGCACTGCCATCCCTTCTTTCCTCCTCCACTAGTTGATGTAGCAAAATGGTTATTGTTTTTTAGTGCGAGGAAGGACGCCGTCGACAGCTTCTATGCTCATACAATTGTGAGCAGACTTTAACCTACACAATCTTCGATGGCTTTCTCTTTCAAATTCAAGTTTTGTTGTTTATCATGAGTTTTGTGATGGTTGGTCAGCTGAAGAAATACATTGACGCTTGGCTCTTTTGGCGTAGCCAGAATTGTTAGTTTTTTTTTTGCCTTTAAAAGTTTTTTG